TGTGTAGCCAATGGACATGTTTTCAGTTGAGCAAGATCTGGACATTTGGGAGGGGGAGAGCCACATATGAGTTGACATAGACATCCTGCATGCCATCTTTCTAAAATATAACGAAAGCTGAAATTTCTTACCTAACATGAGTTCAATAGATAAAGTAAAATAGTTACTAAATTGTTAAAAATAGAAATAAAAAAGGGAAAAGTTCAATCCGCAGTGGAACTGGTTACAGGTGAGGGTGTCAGCACTAACTATATAAAAGGTCTCTCTGGGCAAACATGCATCAAAGCACTCTGCTCTGTGCCAAACTCATACCACAATATCCAATACAGCAACTCTGGTTTGGGAGTGTTTTGGAAAGCTATTATCGAGCCACACAGTCCCCATGGAAACACTGCCACCTCCATTAATGTAACCTAAAACTGTATTGTCCAAGGAGGGATGCCATGTATCAACTCCTAACAAAAATGCTGCTGATTTGGGTCTGACATCATCTCACACGGACTGAAAGACAGTGAACATGTGATCTGTGGTCAGATGAGTAGGATTCAACTTTCAAAAGACAAGAAAGACCATCCTGGCTGTTATCAGCAAAAGGTTGGACTGGATTTATGGAGAGACCTTCCTGGGAGGTTTCGGGTTATTTTAACAAAATAATGCCAGACCTCTTTCTGCACAACTCACATGTTGGAGGCATAGCTTGGCATGTGTCTTATTGAGGAGGAACACAGATCTAAAAATCTGAAACAATTCTCATAATATGATTACAAGGAAAATCATGTAACAGTGTGGAGGACTAGTGTCTATTCTTTATAAGTACTTAAACAAATTAGCTAATTTATCTCTTTTTTTTTTTTGAACACTTCCAATACAATTGCAAATAACGGATGAAAATATTAAATATAACCTTGAATAAAGGTTATATGTTATTATAAAACATATTCCAAGTCATTTGATTTGTAAATCAAAGACGGCCAGCAGACTGTTTGATGGGGTTCAGTTTCGGAGCCCTTTCACCTCTAAGTGAATCCAGGGGAAAAAAAGCTCCCGGAGGATGATGTGAATAAAGGACCAGGGTTGTTTGAGCCCCCCCCCCAGTCCCAAATGCAAGAAGATGGAGTAACAAGTTTGGAAGCTAGCAAGTTATCAACTTGTTGAACATCCTGGTTTTATGGGCAACTGCAGACCACTTTGAAAGGTAACAACAGCTGACACAGCAGAAAGCCTGACAATGAACTGCACAGATTTAAGTTGGGATAAGCATCTCTGTTTTGCTGCATTGCTGAGTGGTGAGTCACTTAGTGAATCGAGCCAGATCTCGGCGGAGGAAATAGCCCCATTGGGGGAATACACTTGCATCCAGACTCTATCTCCGTGCAGATATTGCCAGATGAAGTCCAACGTTTTTTCCTGCCTTGAATTTGCTGACAGACACCTGAGGTTCTGCTGACTGGAGACATCCTGGGACGGCTGTCAACGGCCGGTCTAGCTGGGGTCAGAGATCCTCAGCTGGAAAAGTTGGCAAGGATGAGTGGGCTTTGCAAAAACTCACCTCTGTTATGAATATTTTAGAGGGAGTGAGGCCGGATTGAACTGAACTGAACTGAACTGAAAGCGTACAGTCATATTTTCCATTGATATCAAAGCCATATGGCTGGATTTCATGAAATAGTTGAGGCAGCACACTACATTTGGCAGAGTTTAGGAATGAATTCACAATAAAGTGAAGGAACAGCCTGGATGTGTTCTATTTAGATGATGTAGTGTATTACAATGAAGAAAATGTCCTAATTCGTATTTTTCTCATATTCCTTTTAGTTTAAAGCTGGCCAGATCTCTAAATACCACCTTTAGTGATAAAACTGCACTTGAAAGAGGTAGTCTGGATTTCATCTCAGCAGATTTGAACTCCTTATGAGGGATTTGCTCCAATTTCCTTGCAGGACTGCCTTGTAAGCATCACTTTCCCCACTCGGCCCCTGTCACAGATACGTGCTACAGAATCCGTCGAGATGTCCGCAGTGAGGAGATTTTCTGCTCTGCGGACCAGAACTGCACATAACTAGGTAGTGAGAATCAGCAGACCTCGTAAAGAACAACAACATTACCCTGCTCTTCTGGAATGTCAACTTAGAAAACTCTTGAAGCAAAGGACACAGTCTGAGTGCACAGTCGCTGGCCTTTCCCTGTAGCTCGGTGTAGGGTAGTCCCTCATTCTTTTTTCTTTATTTTCATCATCTCAAACATCATTATTGGTCTGGCCGACAAGTTCCGACTAGTCTCTGATGAAAGTGCTTTGCTTAATCACGCTCTACTTTATTCAATCAATGATAATTACTGACACAAATGGAGTAATCATCATTATTCACTAGAGGCTAAAAAAATAAATGGCAACATGTGGATGCACATGCAAGCTATTTCATTAGTCCACAAGGCTTTGCACACCACTAATCCCACAGAACTGTGAGCCGCAGAGAACATTCAAGGGCTAAAACAAGATAAAAGCTGAGTTAAAAAGTGCGATCAAATGAAAATGTATTCAGTACGGAGTGGACAGATAGCAGAGCACATGATATGAAATGCACACACAAGCAGAAACAGATCATGGTCAAAGTGCATTTGGTGCCCTTGTTTCGCACTTAAGATATTTGCAAACATTGTGTTCAAAGCCCCGTCTTGTGCTGGGCTGAGAACAGTGTCATCATAACACATTACCGCTGTCATGGTGGGGGGGGGGAAAGCGGGTCCGAAACACACAATAAGGGCAAAACCAGTTCTTAGGCCTGAGCTTTGCCTGTGTCAAATAAAACCACACCACAGTGTAAACAAGTGACACTGGAATATTTGGGCCATTGAACTGGAGGGGGCCTCGGTGCCGTGGGTGTTGTGTTTCTGCCACGCTCGACTCGTTTTGAGGCCCATGATGTCCCCTCGGGAACATAAAGCCTAACCAGATGAATATGGCAGCGGACGGCAAAACCCCTCATTATTTTGGCCACGTCTTTGAAAACCAAATTAAACTTTGAAAATTGGGGTCCGAGCTTTGCCAAAACAAGGCTTGGCGACTGCTCGGTGATGTCCTTACCTTCTGATCAACTATGGAGCACACCAGGTCCTTGACAGCCGACAGGGAGAGGTCACTGGCCTCCAGGTTGACCGTCTCCCGGGTCAGTCCGATCTGCAGCAGGAAGGACACCCCGTGGAAGGAGCTGCGGGAGTTGGTGGGGCTGGGCGCGCTGTGGCTGCCGTTGGACAGCCGGGTGTAGAGGTGTCCCGGCGAGCCGGGCGGCTGTGGCGGCGGCGGGGGGGCGCTCGGCGAGGGCGGGTGGTGCGGATGGAGAGAGTGGAGGAAGGCTCGAGGTAAGGACGGGGGAGAGGAGGCAGACATTGGGTTTCTTCCAGTTGCGACGTGAAAGGCCGAATAGTGGAAGGTTGAGTTAAAGCCGGCCGGAAAAAAGAACGGCTCGGCCTCTTCGAATGGATTTGTCCTGGGGGGGAAATTTGGTCCTCATCGGCAGTGGTGAGTTTTTTTTATTTTTATTCAGCTGCTTACAGTCTGTCCTGAATTAAGAATAAGGAATCCTTCCCACCCACCTGAGCTCACGCATCATTCGTCGGATGGGCCGCTGACAGGTAAAAACAGAAATAAAAAAAAGGCTGCACAATCCAGAGGCTCCCAGTAAAGTCACTGCAACAAACTTCATATCCTGGAGTTTGGTTCCTTCTCTTTACTGAAGTCAGTAATCCACTCTGACCACAGGAAGCCTGTCACCACAAACACACACAGACACACACACACATTGAAAAGTGAGAAAAGCATCCAGGGCATATGAATGAATCCATGTACTTATGTTTTCACTGTTTCCCTGGGCTAAGGCTGTCTCTTTCAAACTGAAATATGTGGCTGTTTCCGCGCGCTGGCTCCTCCGTCGTTAGCCCCGGACTCGTTTCTGCTGCCTCTTTTGTGAAAAAAGCACTCTGCTAAATGAGGCACCGCTTTCAAATCTGCGCGTAATGACATTTGATGAATTACATTTTCATTAGCCTCCTTTTTTTGTGTGTTTTTTTGCGTGTTACTACGGCATTCTTTCGAGCTCGTGCGCATAACGGCGAACCTGGAAGACACGCATGGGCTGATAATGGCTTTCATTACGACGTTTACACGAATTCAAACTTCGTCGACATCTGGAATCAAGGCTTCCGAACATCTGCACCCCTCCCACTTTCGATTGGCTTGCTGGCAGAACACAACCGAGTGGAGAATGCCAGCAAAACAAGTTATACAAGCCCCGAATTTGCACATTCTGAAAGCTCTTTGTTGCAACTGAACCCAGTTCGCCTGAAGTCTGTTTCAAGCCCAAACTTCCGACTTCGGCGTTTCGGAAATGGTACTTTACCTTCAGTCTCAGCGAAAGACGCGTTTCTTTCCATTGTGGAAGGACCGAAGATGAAACTTTTCAACTCCATCAACTGAGGATAGCGGAGCCTGAAGTTCGCTCTCCGGCGCTTTTCCTGGAGTCACGCGCAAAAGCCCACGCGCGGTTTTCCTACTCCTGATTAACACCTGGGTTCGAACCGACGACGGACTGGCTGCCGTCCATTTAAATGATCTTAACTTTTATTCCTGGTTGTAAATTCATGCGCATCTTATTACCCTTCCAGCTGTGGCTACTCCCCCCGTGTGAGGAGGAAAAAACAGCGCGTGCCGTGGGGCTGGGGCTTGGAGTCCTTTTCATATCTCCACATAACTGACTTCCCATACGCGGAGACCAAAACTTGAACTACAGTCCATGTGAAGCAATGGCGCCTCCGACCGACTCAAAGCAGTGCGCATGTGCATTTCTTTTCCGTTATTTCAACTTAGCCATGCCAAGAAAGGAGGAAAAAAGATCCACTTGACCCGGATTGGGTTAAACTACTTTTGACTTTCAAAGTGAAATACGTGAATCCGCTTGGGGGACGCTGTACCCACAAACCAAATGAAGAATAAAATAGATTTTATTGGAGTTTGATAAACCATTAAAGGACAGGCTATGTGTTTTCTGGTGCAGGGATTTGTTTACACTGATGGACAGCTGGACCTTTCCTGGGTATAAAATAGTGTAATGAAGGGGATACATGGAGACCTTTAAGAATTAGAACAAAACACACAGGAAGAGTGGCTCGTTTTGCTATTACAATTGTTTGTCAAGTTATCACCCCAATCACAGTAGATTGTGAAACAATAGGAAAATTAGGAACTGCTCCATTCTCAGTTCAGGAGATTGAGCAATCCATGACATTAAAGAAAAATATTGTTCAATATACAGAGAATTAAAAAAAAAGGCTCAACAAGTTTGAACCTTAGATCTAAAGTTTATGGTAATTACAAAAGTCACCAGAAATGCATTAATACTGTGGAAAAGTGGGGTCTATGTTCTTTGCCCAAGCCATGAGGCCTCCACAGACGTCTTTCACTGTGATAGCGTCCACTTCTGATCCGCTCAACTTCTCCAGAACTTGCACCGCCTTCTGGGAGTCATTACCCTGTTTACAGATCACATAAACTGGAGGGAAACCACAGAGAGAAAAAAGAATGAGCTGGCAGCACCTGCAGAGACTTCATATGATTTAGAAGAATCATTTGTAAAAGTCAGAAACCTGCGTAAAAGCATTTAGATAGACTCTGCATTTGGGTATAAACATGTAAAGGCTTCAAATCAACACTGTGGCTGGAGTTCTAATCTAAAACTTCACGTGGCTAAATTTAACTCATTGATTAAAGAACACCACTAAAATAACATTATGAATGTTAATTTCTCTAAAGCGGACCAGCTGCTCAGGTTGACCACACTTGTTTTGGAAAAGGGGTCACCTAGCAACCCTATTATAACCTGTCCAAAATAAGCCTCTGTTTGGGCAGTGTGAGCCCACACAGCAGACCATGAATATGTGCGAGCGGCTCGACGCGTCTGCTTGTTTTAAACGGAGCACGCGGATCAAAAACAGCCCTGAGCCGCGTTACCTGCCGGCCGCCGCTCAGCTGCCATCTCCTGTTTTAGCTGGCTGATTCTTCCCTGAAGTAACCGGAGATGCTCACTCTTCCTCTCCTCTAAACTGGAGAGCGGAATGTCTGGCAGGAATATAAAAGAGAATAATCACAAAGAAATGGAGAGCAGGTTTAGGCTTTTAACCTGGATGCTGGTAATAGAATATAAACCTCTATCATAAAAAGGATACTGAGAGAGAAGGGTAAGTGGCATATATCCACTTCCACACGAGGGCGAACGTCCAACAAGATATGCGGCTCCGTGTTGTCCAGTATCGATTTATAATCCTGGAAATACATTAAGACATTAATTGATGCAAGCACATTATAAAATGCTAACACAGGAGTTTTTTTTTTATATAATCACTCTCAATTGTAACTGTACTTTAAACCAAATGGCATAAAAATGCTGACACCTTGCCCAGATTTGTAATTATGTAGTAAGACGAATATTTTCACGGCTCCTTCTTAAATCGCAGGAAGTAAATCCGTTTCTAATTCGAGTTCCTTGCACAATCTGGACTGCACCCCAATCAATCATGATCCCCATCTCAGCGCTTAATGACTCAGCGGGTTTCAAAGCTACAGATATAAAAACAGATGCAGTCCACCACCACAGCTCCCCGTGCCAAACGGAACATGTTATTCTTTCCCATAGAAAACCAACAGGCACATTTTAAGTCATTTCCCATTTGAGGCTGGGTCAGAGCTGAGATGTAATCAGTCGATGAATGTGCATGAAAACTGAGAAAATTGTGAGTAATCATACAATACACGGCAATAAGCACAAGGAGTCACACAATGACCCACTGTTCCAGAGTATATCCCCAACCTGCGCTGTGATCCTCTGATCTTTGGACAGGAGGTTTAGTTTTTGGCACTGAAAAGAAAAAGATCCACAAACATTACATCCTTAAAACTCAGCTGATGTAAGATATGAAAATTTGCACTCCAGTGTAAATGGGCTTGACTCAAAGGTGTGGCGTGCCAACCTCCTCTTTAATGACCAACCTTATCGGTGGCAGCGGACCCGCAGAACGCCTCGTAGTCTATTAGCCCAGTCACGCTGGGCTTTTCCCCGCACGCGGCGCAGCCCGGCTGCTTGGGCCGCAGCCGGATGGACCTGAACCGGGCATCTTGACCGTCAAACATCAGGAGCTGCTGACCGCAGGAAGCTGGCGGCGCCTGGTTAAGGTCGAAAGCTGAAAAAAGGCCACCAGGAGAATTGTCGGCCATGTCTCCCGGCGCCACACGAGCAGCTGCACCTTTAGGGGGCCTCGGTGGGAGCGCGTCCCGTACCGGACTCGTCTTAGACAGGTGTATTGGGCACAGCAACAGGCGGGGAAACGGCAGTCCTATTTTCTTATTAGAACCACAATGCAGAAAAGCCCAACAGCTCCATAAGACAATGGCAAATGGACGATGAGTGGAGCCCCAGACCAAATATTTCTGTTGCTTCTTTGTTTTGTGAAACAGGCACAGACACTTGCTACAACGCGCTCCCTTTCAGCGGCTCATCGTGGATTTATCCCGACGACTCGGCAAACGCGGCCGGCACAAAGCAACAAAATGGCAAAGGAGGCGCTGCCTGTCATGTGGGAGCGAGCGATGGGAAACAAAAGGATACAGCCCCGCCCAGAGGCAATTTTGAGGACCTCCAAAGCTTGGAAGCAGCCCATTATACCTGGAACTGAAATGATATTTTTTACAAGGTTGTTTCACACAGACAGAAAACACCAGGGCCTTCGTGACGGTCCGGGTTTGAGACTCACCCACTCCTAATACGCCTCCATCAGAACAGTTGGTCACTGTCTCAGGGGGTGGGGGGGTTGGGTATAAACATCTGTAGCAGGGGCCTCCGCCGTAGTTATAAACTGTGAGCTGCAAACACAAATCATGCTGAACAGCCGTGCGGCCAACACTGGAGGGGAAAGAAAAAAAAAAAAAGAAAAGGAGAGAGGCACTTTTGCAACGTACCTGTCCCTCCATTCGCAGAGCGCTTGCCGAAACCAGAGGTTTGCCACTGAGCACGCAGGCGTCGTTCACCAGGTAGCGAGTGGGAACGTTGTCCGAGCAATCGGCCACTATGTCGTACATGGGGTCAGGGAAGTCAAGGTGTCCTCACAGGCAGAGTTTCTCCATGTAACAGAGAGCGCACAGCCATCCCACACCGTGACCCGCACGGCGCGCTGGGAGTTTGAATATGAATCGGCACGCAGACACCCAGCCTGCGGCAGGGCAGGTTAGCTTCCGGAGGATACTGTTGAATGAGCTCCAAAGCGTTTTCCGGCGAGAGCTGCAGGTGGTAGGGAACGCAGTCAACGGTGGAATTTAGCCTGCAGACACGTTCAGAAACAGTGGCGTTAGGTGGTTCTGCCCTCTGAAGATCACATCTATATCGCAAGCTTTTCTTTCTTTTTCCTGTCTAAACTTGCTCAAAAGACAAATGAAAGCCATGCCGGCGGCTCGATTAATTCAGCTCAAAAGAGGAGATCGCCTCAACTGAATAAGCCGCGGAAGAAAACGATGAGCTTATCACAAATTATCTTCTGTCATGAGGCCGATTGTGCTCGTGGTGACTAGTTATCAAACAGAAGAAGTGGGAAGAAGTGGGTCACACAGCACACAGTCTGTTGGCTGGCCGGGGAAACGTTGCCCCCGTGTGGCTAAAGCCGAGCGGCCTGTTTGCAGCCCAGAGAGAGGGCCCCCTGTAAACGGCTGCTTCTGAAATAACATGTTTACACAATATTTGTAGACTGGGAGAAATGCACAACCAAATATAACCTGTGGTGAGACTGGAAAGCGCCAGTAAACATGGCCAAGTAGCCAGAGGGGTCGACGGGGGCGTCCAAACAGACCAATTACCACAGTTACTTAACATCACCTAATAATATCAAACACTGTCCTCCTTATTCCGCGTTTTTTGGGGGTATTTTGATGCATGTAAACAAGTTAAATGCACCAAAGGCTGTAGTGGATCGTGTGTATATGTGTTGGCTGAGCTGATACCTTCTAACAGCTCGGGACGCAGACAGAGCTTTGGCCTGGCCCTGGTTCTCTTCCCCATGCAGCACCTGCCTGTGCAGGTTACTCAGCTCCACTTCATCGTAGTCAAGCAGGCCCAGGCGCCCTGGAAGCACACAAAGCAACTCTAGAACGTCTAAAACACTCTTTCAAACTCCAACCCAATGGACTAAATAATACACACATCTAAAAGGTCCCTGCGGCCCAGTGTTTGTGGCCCTTTTTCATTCAAGCTAAAGCAAAGCAGGTCACGGTTCTGATCATCTTTGCACGTCTTTGTGTCCCGATTACCTACCGATGCCTGCCGCTGCCAGATACTGGGCCAGAGGGCAGCCCAGTCCACCACAGCCCACAACCAATACGGATGTCCCGGACAGGTTTAGCTGGCCTGCGAACAATAAACACCCGATCATCCCACAGACTCCAGCTGAGAGTAACTACAGCACAGCGAGTCCCAATGACACGGCAGGTGTCTGCACCTTGCACACCGAGCTCCGGCAGGAGGAGCTGTCTGCTGTAGCGCATGATGTCCTCATTGCTCAGAGCGGCTTTGGCCGTCAGGGGGGTGAGCGGCGCCACGTCGCTGTGCAGCTCCGGCACTGAAGCTCGACTCTGATATCACACCGAAAGGAAGACAATGCAAAATAAATGTTAGTTTATGTACTGTTAAACTATGGCCTTCGTGGATATTTGTTAACTGCTGAAACTTTTGTAGAGGATGAAAAGCTTTAGAACCCTTTCAATATACTTTTGTGGATTTTGTTTTTTACTAAGAAAAATACATACATGGATTTGTATAGGACAACCTCCAAATTGTTAGGTGGCAATTTAAAACGAAGAGTAATAAATGTGTGATGTTGAAATTTTTTTTCTTAGTCCTGTTTACCAGGAATGGTCTAAAATGAATGGAAGTCAACACCAAATAAATGTAAATTTAGGATTTGGTGAATAAAAAACATGAAATAGGTCACCTTCTGCCTAGCAAATTTAATATTTTGTGATCTCTACTAATGTGTCAGTGAAAGAACTAGTATGAAATGAGAGCAGTTCACTGATATTTGCTTTTTATAACTTTTGCACTAAAAAGATAAATGATAAATCTATGCACAAAATAAATTACCATTAATTAGAAAATATTGCATGGAAAGATTTGACAAATTACAGGGATTTATTAACAACTTTAAAAAGTAGACTACTCAGCAGTAGATAAAGTTTGTAGACAAAGTTTGTACATTAATAGGAAATAGATGTCAAAGAAAAGTTGGACTTCAGCAGAGCAAATTAAGCCTAAGAACACGCCAGGTGTTTACTCACCGGGGGCTAAATAATGTGATACCTTGTATCTAAGACAAGACACAAGCAAAGTAATTGGGAGAATTAATTTAAAAAAACAACAACTAAGTGATGAGAAGCAGACCTAACCGCATACCTTCTCCATCTGAGCCAGTCTGGCCCTCAGAGCAGCCACCTCCTTTTCTTTCTCCTTTAGCTGTGCCTTCAAGCTGCCCACGTCTTGGTCCATGTCTGCCGGTGAATTATGAAGGAAAAACGCTACACTAACGGCAAACGAGTCTGCTTTAGATGGAGGAAAATGTGGCAGGAAAATGTTGACATACGAAGCGCTGCGGAAAAAAAAACTTCCGGGTTGACCACGTGGAAAGCGAACACGTGATGAGTGACGTACGAAACCTCTGTTTTCCCATTTTAAAGGAAGAAAGAAAATAATAACAGGCGTATTATTGTGTTATTTATACATTGAGTTTTTGGTGAGTTTTTATATTTGACCACCATTATTAAAAAATGGAAGTTTGAGTTTAATTGAAAAATTGTGCGTTGAAACAACCTGATGCACACACCCGAGTATCATTACGTTGGAAATAGTTTATTTTGTTTTCATTTCCGTCGTCAAAAAGACACAGAACATTAGGAGGTTTTTTTCCATGCTATACATGAGTTTGTTCAGAGTGAAATAACCAATTCTGATAGGACTCAAAGGTCAGAATGTGTCACTGTGTGCAGACACCCCTGTGATATCAGGGTGAATGGAGCAATGCACACACACACACACACACGGCAGAGTAGTGACGTGCTGTGTCGTAGAGTGCCTCCCTCCTGCTTTTCACATGATCTGAAAGCTCCCTCAGAGGAGAGACAGGAATGTGGAAAAGAGCGACTACATCGATGGCTGAACGAGGCAGCAGTCGCTCCATAATGGGTTGTTTTTACACTTTATTCATCTGCATGGCATCCATCATCCACGCTAATGGGATCCCTTGGACGCAAGAGAAGGTAAATCAGAAAGATTTGTCTAAAGATAGATGTTATAGTGATGCATTTGTATAATTGGAAATGCTCAGAAAACAGTAGTATTGCAGTAGTGAAACAAAAAAAAACAACTTCACATATGCTTTTGAGTTTCTATTACAAACATGACATTTCTAAGTCGGTGTTGATTATGAGTTCTTTTTAAAAAAAAATTGGTCCCTTGTCATTTAAAAGCCTATAATCTTTTACATCATTTTGCACTTATTTAACAGTGTGGGATAAACATAAGCATTTTGGGATTGTGTTTGTACAGTGTGTGTCTGCATCGGTCAATTCAACTGATGGTAGATTGACTGAGATTACATTCACATGGGCTTTTATCTCTTTGAATGGAAACAAAATAAAAGTTTCCAAATGCATTTCTGATCGCTGAATCGATGTGTGACTGTGTATTTGCTGGTCTGTGCTGGACACACCTCCCATGAGATGCACCTGATTATGCCTGAGCTCTTTCACATTTGTGGTCTTCTTCTTATCTCCCCTTCGCCTGGTTGCTATGGCAGCACAGTCATCATCACTGATCCTCCAATTGCGGGTCTTTCTTCTGACAAACCCTAAGTGGACCCTCTTTTAACCCTCTCTAAGCTCGGGGAGCCTCTCGATGATCTGCCTTCGTTTTGTGGCTGTGTAATTATGCCTTTTCCTTATGCAGTTACAGGACTGGTGCATGAGTCATCTTGTGTTGGTTTAACTCATGCTTGGAACAGGTTTTGCAAGTCATTGTATGAGTATGTATTGACTTAAGAAATATGCCCTAACTCCATTGTCAAGGAAAAACAAATCTTCCATGAGCATGAGTAAAGGCATCAGCAAGTCCTTTAATTTTTTTATTCAGACAATTATGATATGAAGTGGCAGAAATTCACTGGTTTGATCGCTGACACGCCACATCTCGATTAATTCCCCACAAACATTTTTTTTTTGCATTCAAACAGATTTTCTTTGAGCTTACGATTTAATTTACAATGCCTTTTTGAAGGCATCACTCATTTTATTCATAAAGACATTTTTGTTATTTAAAAATAGTGATATTTATGAAAATGCAGCAATTTGGAATGCTAATTGGATGAAAGTGTTCATCATCTGGAAAGCCTGGATGCAGCAGAGCAGAACAGGCGGACGCTGGCTTCCACTGGTCCCTGCTATTTATTGTCCGTTTGTTCTCTTCTGCTCCCTGTCCCTGTTTGTTACCAGGACAACAGTGGTTCTCAGAAGGTGAACTTTGAGACCAAGTTGAACAGCCGTGGTAATGAAGGATCAATATGGTTTCTTTTTTAAACGGTTGGCTGTAATGTAGACTTCACTGAATTCCACCGTGCGGTTTTAAAGGTGAACCCAGATCCAAACCGTGCTCCTGAGACAACAATTTTTCGTTGGTATTCATGCTTGTCAGACGGTAAAAATGAGATGAAAAGCCTGATAGCAGTCTCCGCTGCCTCTCGGCTCAATACATTCTTGCAAGTCAATATCTCTTCACACATCTGATTAGCTCCTGTGTCTCTGGAGATGTTCTTAACAACTCGTGTAAACACTGTGAGTTTGACATTATTACCAAAGGATTAGATTATTAATGGTTATATGTGATACTCTATATGTAAGTAACTTTACAAGATGTGGTTGGGGGAAAATATCTATTTTAAGACCCTATATCATGTGACTTATGTGACTAAGATTCTAAATTAGCCTTGTGGTTGGTTTCTGGTCATTCTGCAGTAACACACAAATATCAGCAGTTTTCTGCAGCATGTGTGATTCACATTGTTACCCAATTCAGCTCCAGTACATTATTGCAACACATCTTCAGTTTTATCATTTAAAATGAGGAACAACATGACAGTGACTAACATTAATTACAGATCGTGCCTCTGATGTTGACCTGCCACATAATACAGTTACCTCCAGTTGACAGTTGACCCTTAATTCATGCCAAAACATTTCATACCTTCCGTGTTTGTTTTTCCTTTTCATCCCCTGTCTGTTGGGCTGTCCAGCTGGAGCACAGAGCTGTCACCCTGACGGACGACGAGGTCCGGGCTGCCGTGTCTCACACCGATCTGGAGCAGATGTGGCAGAGGGACCTGAGGCCACTGCTGGTGACCAGGTACCCCGGCTCTGCAGGGAGCCAGAGCGTGCAGAATGTGAGTTTAAGAAATTCATTAAAAAATCTATTTCACTGTCAGCTCCCACCAAACATTCTACATATCACGTACATATTTTTTACTTACAAATCTGCCAAGTCAGTTCTATTGATTGTTATTTTAGCTCCTGGAAATTTTGTCTCTGGTAATATGGAAACTGAAGCCTAAATAATAACCACGATACCCATGCTTTTTTTAACCACATTTCCAAAGTGAATTAGGATCATTCAGTTCTGTTTGTACATGTTTTTGCAGCATATAAAAACAACCCTTGGTTCCCTGGGAGCTGGATGGGAGGTTACAGAGGATACCTTTGTGGCACAAACACCCTACGGCCCCTTGCCCTTTACCAACCTAGTCGCTACGCTCAACCCCTCAGCTGAGCGCCGGCTGGTTTTGGCCTGTCACTACGACTCTAAGTACTATCCACCTCAGTGGCACGGAAGGGAGTTCCAAGGCGCCACTGACTCCGCCGTCCCCTGCGCCATGATGTTGGAGCTGGCGCAAGCCCTGGATGAGGAGCTGAAAGCTCAGAGGGTAACAAACCACTGTGCATTCAAGCTAGGCTCAAATTTTACCGCACATATGAAAATCTGTATTTTTACTTTGCAAAAATATCATAATCCATATTCAATCTCCAGCATGGGCTTAATGTGCAGATTACAAACTTTAAAATCTTATATTTGCATAGAAATTTTCAAGAAAAATGTAAGCTCTCTAATATGCAGCTTACTCTTTTTTAAGTCACTGAATCTTAGTGTAAACAATAATGAAAAAGCCACTTTTAGGTAATGTTATTTTCCTTTCTGTCTCCATGGAGCAAGTCAAAGGTTTAAAAGTTTTTCTCAAAACATGTGGTATTCATGGGTTTGGGTTAGCTCTCTTCATAGCTGTAAACGCACGGCATTTAGTCAGAAGATCTTTTGATGCACGTGAACCAGGTCTCTCCTTTGATTGCAAAAAGAGAATCAATTCATTTGAGAGGATCCAAAGAAGACAACAGTAGTGTGTGGTTACTGGACCCGTTCCATTATATCCAGCCTGAAGTATAGAATTCTCTCCAGGAGGCAGACATGTTATTATCTGAGTCAACCACAAACAGAAAACTTCACAAGAGCAAACACAAAGAGTTCACCACAAGCCTCTAACTATGCGTCGCAGAAAGCCCAGATTATACATTGCTTTAAAAAAAGAAAGAAGGAAAACATCTTAAAAAGCCAGATCACTTCTGGAGTCGCATTCTTTGGGAAGATAGAGCTAGACAGAAGGGGGAATGCTGAGGTGACACAGGACATACTGCCAGCTCAGACTCAACCAAAAGCAGCAAAGCTGGATGGAGCTTCACCGTGCAGATGGACAATAACACTGCCAAAATAACACAGGAGTGTTTGAAGGGGGGGCGTTTTTGGGAGGGCTGACTGAAGCATCTCATCTCAATCCAATCCACTTCAGGCTTTCACTGCACACAAATGAATTTTTCTTTGTGATATTTGTTTAATTTGAACACATTCCTTCAGTTTGGATATGAATTCCTTCAAATTTATGTAAATATTGTGGGTTTACCGTAAAACGCTTTTGGAAACAAATCTAGTCAATTACAGGGGTATGTTTTTTTTTTTCATTAGTTGTTCATGCGAAACAGGTTAAAAAAAACACAATTTAAATTAAAAATGTCATTGGGGAATTTGTATTTGCACTTCATCAGCAAAGCTGTCAATATTTCAGCCACAAAACTTTTGAAAGAAGTCCTCACTCAGATGATGAGTAAGGGGAACATTAGCATGCATGTTGCTTCCTCCTCTGCCCTTTTCCTGCTTCATCACTGCCCTCAGACACTGATCACTTGGCAGATAGTGACATTGCCTGTGAAGACGACCCCAGCAGAGTGACATGTTTGTCAGACTCAGCTGTCGTATAGATCACAGCGGGATTAAGTCTGGGAGTGAATACAGATGCCCGGAGAGGCCTTGTGTCCTTTTTGATAAATAGCAAAGTTTGGTTTGGGAAAATCGAGGGACATTTTTGTGGAAACTGTAAAAACTAAAGAATGAATTAACCTTTCACATGACGCACTCATGAAAACACTCTGCTTTGTGCTACTTTAAAAACAAATCCACTAGATGGCAGCAGTTCTCTTGCAATGGCGGTTATTGAGCTTCGGTTTCTCTCTGTCTGACGTGCAGAACACCAGCTCTAACTTGACCCTGCAGCTGATCTTCTTTGATGGAGAAGAGGCGCTTTTCCAGTGGACCTCCACGGACTCGCTCTACGGCTCTCGCCACCTGGCCCAGAAGATGGAGAACACCCCCCACCCTGCAGGAGCCACAGATACCAACCAACTGCACGGCATAGTACGCAGCAGCTGTGCCCATCCTTCCCAGTTCAGACTACATAGGATTAGCATAATCGCCATCAAGATTATTCCGAAAAAGCAGTCACACTTTATGAGCTTTATCGCTTTATCTGAAGCTACAGTGTGTGTGTCTGTGTGTGGGCGCGAGGGGAGAAGTCTGTGGTGACTGTGTCAAAGTTGTGTCACCACACATAAGTTCTTCGGAGGTGTGATCGGTGTGAGAATAGCTCTGTGGGAGAGAGCTATTCTCAGAATGTGTAGACGGAGACTGTCGAGCTTTGTTCACCTTCACCCTCTGTATGTTCCCCCACAGGATCTGTTTGTGTTGCTGGACCTGATCGGGGCCCCCAGTCCCCGCTTTGGAAACCAATTCCCCAACACAGCCCCGTGGTTTACCAGGCTGCAGGACATCGGTGAATAATCATCACAGTTTAACACCTCTTAAATCCCGTGTAATCCCCTCAGTTTGAATGAACATGATTCTTGTGGTTAGCACTGCCGCCTCACAGCGAGACGGTTCCCAGTTTGAGTCCCTGTGGGGAAGCGGGACTTTTTTTGTTTGGAGTTTGCATGTTCTCCCTGTGTCTGCGACCCCATTGGGAGTAAGTCGTACAGAAAATGGATGGGTTATTCATGTATCAGAGTCATGAACAATGGAAAAGCTTAAGCTCACAGCTGTTAGCTGTTTTAACACCAGTGTGAAACTGATAGTTAAACATGGCCACAGCGCATTGCTTGCATCTTTTTCAAACTTTGCCACAGCCTGTCAAAAACACTTTATCTCTAAGAAAGCAGGTAAGGACTTTCCTTCCAGCTCTTGTGGTCCACACATGGTGTAAAGTGTGAGCTGGGCAATGGATTTTTTATGAAAAGGCTTGAAAGGTTCTCCATCACAACATCATGGCAGTCACAGGAACGTTACAGTGTCTTGCCATGTGGATAAAATCTGATAAAAATAGAATCAAAAATGGTTTTATAAAGTGATTCACTGAATGCTTGATTTTCTCTTTAATTCAAACACAGAGAAACGTCTACACTCCCTGAACCTGCTCGTGGATCATCCTAACAGTGTGCAGTATTTCTGGCCCGATCATCGTCTGGGCCATGTTCTTGATGATCACATCCCTTTCCTGAACAGAGGTGTGCACACCGAGTAAAACAGCGACCTAAACTTGGACTGTGGCTCCCTATCGTAAACCATCTACCCGTGCTTCCGTTTCAGGAGTTCGAATCCTCCACCTCATCCCCAACCCCTTCCCATCCGTCTGGCACACGTTTGATGACAACGAACAGAACCTGGATCGGTCTACCATCCAGAACCTCAACAAGATCCTGCAGGTTTTTGTGCTGGAGTACCTCAATGCCAGACCAGTGGTTGCCTCAAACCCAGGAAATGCCCCCTAAGCTCAGGAAATGCCCCGGACACCCGTCGACTCATCCGGCTGCTGTAAAGATTTCCAGCTGATTTTCAGTTTTTCTTATGTGAGCGACATGAAATGTGTTTCCCAATGGCTTCTTTAGTCGGGGTAATGCATGATAGCTTCTTCCATTCAAACTCCCAGAAACAAGATCAGCACACAGGAGCTTCAGTGTATCGTTCCCAACACTGCTCTCTTTATATTAGCTGTCATTACGCTCCCAGGAGACATCCCAGAGTCTCCTCACATAGTGCCTAAATGCCTAAGATCTGGTCCAATTGGCTTCGTTACAGAAATGGATCCCTCTGTATTATTAATTTCTCTGGCAAACTTTACAAGCCGAAACCTGATTATTTTTTAATTATGTGTTGCCGTGTGAGCAACCTAACCCTCAAAGCACGTCATGATTAATGAGTGGTTGCGAGAGCAATGCAACAGGGCCACCCACACAGATGATACCAAACATTTTGGGTGAGAGTAAATGCCGTCCGTTTGTTATACCTGCAGGTTGTGTGACATTTTCCTGTCCGCTCTGATCGTATTCAGTGTGTAGTGTTAAAGAGAAAGTTCCGAGTGGCAGGACGGGAGGTTTATTTTAACTAAAGCAGCATATCAAGCCCTTCATAGATCGTCTTTTTACATAGAGGAGTAGATAATACCCTGTGTTGATGATGCCTCATGTGCGTACTGTTGTTAATGTAACATTATTAGCCTGGTTTTCACATCAATGTGAGAACAGTGTACACAGCTAAAAGTTCACTTCCTGTATTCTGTGAGTGAATAAATGTTTAGCAAGAAAACAAAGGATACGAAGGAGGTTTTTGGTCATCTTTACATCTGTTTTAATGTGTCAGCATTTCAGGAACAAGGGGAATAGACGGCAGTCCCGTTCTAATGCCTGTGATTAAAGGTGCTTTGGACGTAGATGATAATGACTCATGTTGTTGTGAACTGATTTAACTGTCACCTACAAAAAAAAAGCCAGTACACTCCCCCTCTACCTCCCTATCACGTGCCTTTTCATCAGGCCTTTCCCCGTTCGAGACCTCTGCCTCACCTCAACTGCGATCTCATGATTCCCTCAATCCTATCAAGGGGCCCTCTCACGAATTCCACACCACTTAAATCCTCGTCACTTTAAACCGCTCCCACGAGGAGTGAATGCTGATTTGATCCTGCTTTTCCGCAAGCAGAAATGTTTGTGATGCCTGGTTACTGTGTATGCTCCCAAAACAGGAATTAAAGTGAAGATTATTTCGGTAATTTACACTTCTTTCAGTGTCATTTTCTACAAGAATTTGCTGCGGATTGTCAACAAAGAAATTCTCTTTTAGATTATCCTTCATGAGCTTTATTCCAAAGAACGGACTCTTACTTATAGTCTGCATCTTGACTCCATTCAGGCTCAGAAATGCAGCGAGGCAGAGAGACAACATAAAAAAAAATGCACAAGGCTCCTGATTTTTGTGCAACTGCAAAATGACTCATGACAACCTGAAATAATTGCACAGCTTTTATCAGCAGCCGATTACAGTGCGGAGTGTGCAACAGCTTCCAGCTGTGGAACTGGAATGATGGGTAGGGCTGGGACTTTCTCCCATGCTAGGTGTGTTTCGGCCTGTTCGAAAACAATGAAGGAGCCAAGCAAGCTTTACACCCTTTGAAAAGGGCTGTTTTTCTTAGCTTTAGAAAAAGGATTTTATTGTTTGAAGCTTGAAGCTGTACAAGACAAATACACAGGATTATACGATGAATGCGCCGGATGTTTTGCAAAGGAGAAAAAATATCTTGGTTTCAGTGCTTTTGGGTCAAGCAATTTATTAACAGAAACTCTGTGTTTGGTGACCTCTTTCATGACCACAGCCACCTGTTGCTGCTTTTCAATGTAACTTGACAAAAGTCAGTCACTTGTTCTGTTGTGTATGTCTTTCAAGTCAATAATGAATTGCTGTTTTTTTTCTCTCTCTCATCAAATGTAGTCAGTTGAAAAAGAGAACAACATAAGTGGTTTTCCTCAAAGGGGGGGGGGGGTCATAATTAAACCTTCGTAAAGCTTCATCTGGCTCCATAAATGAGTTGCCAACAGAGAGCAGTGGTGAGTCATAATCAGTGTATGAGGGTCTCCTTTCCACGTTTTGTTTTGACATATGAAATTCTACCCCGTTAAGTACACATTTGATCAGACCCTGCAAACATCACACCAAAGACAAACACATAACACAGCAGTCACATCAATGCATAAATTCCCATTTAACTGTGTTCCTAAATGAAGATTGCACTGACAGATTACCAGCTCTCAATTGTGTGTGCTCCAGCGCCACAACACAGTTTCCTTACACACGCCCCCATTTTCAAACGAGGGCGGTGAATGAATCCACACAAATCACCCACATCATGAGCTGTATTCTTGTGCCCTCCGAAAATCTGTGTTTACACTTCAGACGGATGTTAGTGGCGAACAAAACACAGGTGGAAGTGTCTACGTGTTGAATAAACTGTCACAAAAATGATCGAGAAAAATCCTTTGACGACAAATTCAAAATGTCACACGTTGTAATTTCGCCTCAACAATCAATCATGGTCGTGAGAAAATGCGTAACTTTCGAAATTAAGTGTACGGATATGGAAAAATAAGACGTTACATAAGTCTGGTGGCGTTTTTGGATCTGAAATTGTTTTTTGGGGTTGTTGGTAAACTTGTTGTTCAACACGAGTTTTGATTTTCCCGAGCGCTTCCGGCTGTCCGCGAACGCAGCACTGATTCCAGCCGGGGCTCTGAGGAGCTGTGGGGGGATGTCGGTCCAACCTCCAGTCATGCGTGATTGTTCAGAGTTGTTAAGTGAGGGAACACAAGCGAACGAAACTCTCCGGGCTGCTGGGAAGAATGTGACAGAAGATTTCCACCGTTTCACTCAACTTCTTCCTCTCGCCGCGGAGCGTTTTGACATATTTCCCACAAGAGATAGTTTCGAAGAGACCATGGAGCCGATAACGAAGTGGAGCCCAAAGCAAGTTGTAGACTGGATGAAAGGTGAGTGTGAAGCACTTGGAGGAAAACCTTCAATTGTTTTGGGTCAGACTGGTGAAAGGAACTTTAAACGTGCACGCAGGCTTGATTTCGTGTGTTTTTTGTGTTGTTTTTTCAAACAGAAACTGCTTCTGTGTGACAGCCAGCCTTAACAATAGGAGCGCATTTCCCCTTTACTAACACTTTAAGATGTGGGAAAAAAATGTTCGAAGTTGTTATTAATTTGAGATCTTCTCATTTAAATACATGACAGTTAACACACTGTAAATTTATCTTTGACACGTTGATCTCAACAGTTTTTTATCCAAAATGTAAACACAGACCAGCTGTAAAGAAATGTGTTCAGGGTCACAGGAATTTTGTTAAGAAGTGAGGACTCACTTTTATTAATCTTTAGTTAGGTTCTGATTATTCCCACCAGCCACCAGGCTGTGAGGGACCTGAGTTGTGAGCTCCCCTTCCTGCTGGTGGATGATGTCTCCATCAGTTACACTCGGGACTGACAGTCATTTGCTTCACTCCTTCTGGGCTTTTGCTTTTTCTTTCTTTCTTTCTTTCACTCACAAAACTAAACATTATTGTATGTGTTGACCTTTGTCTCTCTCTCTCTCTTTCTCTCACTCAGACACACAGTAGTCTATACAAACGCAGTAATAAATGAATACTAACAACAGATGTGCGGTCCCAGATAATGGAACAAGCTCACTCGAACCGCACCTGAAAACTGGTTTGAAGCCCAAACGCCAATCGTAAATCAATGATTCCTTAAAAGGTGCTATTTTTAGTATCTGATACTTCACCAGAAAAAAAAGAAGAAAAGAAACATACTTGTTTCAGGCGCTGGGAGGAATGCGGGCTATGACAGTGACATCATTAATCTTTGAACCTGACTTCGGTCACAGCATCGGTATGTCTGAGCAAAGTGGAGGCTGAGTGGAATGTGAGACGTTATTTGGAGCTGTGACAACCAGACCACTCCAAGAGGGAAAAAAAAGCCGAGTTTGATCCCATGTATATCGTACAACGAAATGAGTCACGGGTTTGTGTAAAAGGCCACCGGGGAGGCGGAATCTGTTTCCCTTGGCGTTGCTCTAAACAACATTTGAGAACTTCCCAGAGCAAATCTTTGCTGGCTTCTATTTCATCCCCGCCCGAACTCCCCTCCTCTGGACGGAGCTCAAATGTATTTGGGAGTTAGGGGAGGTTTTTGGAGGGGATGAGTGTCTGTGTGTCCTGTGAAAGAAGGCCGGGCAGAGCATACATGGCCAGAGGATTAGCTGTCCACACAGACCCTGTTGCTCTCAGTCTCCTGACAAATCTGACTCAGCAGTTATCTGCATAGGTCCTAACCACTGGATTTGCAGCTCGTGGGAACATTTCATTCAAGTCTTTCACATGCAAACCCGGCGGTGGGCACTCACAGGATGGGGAAGACATGACCCAAATGCTCTTATGGGTAAATTGCAGGTGGTCATGTTTAGACATAATCAGAAGTAGCTGCTGCAGTTTTTTTCCTTTTATACTTGAGATTTAGCAAGTTGGATGCAACCCCTGAAAGTCTTACTTCCCTCACTGTGATCGGGCACGGCTAAATAACTATTTGCTTCAGTTCTAGGTGTTGTTAGTGGGCCTAGGTTACAATTACTTTGCAAGCAAGTGGATCTTCTTGTAAGCCGGCAGAGCCACGAAACAAACAAAGAATTTAACCAAATTTCAGCTTGCAGCTTCTTCTTTTTTTTTTTTTGTCCTTCAAAACACTTCCAATGAAAACTCCCGCTGGATGGGTTATGGTTTACCAAAATTTGGTAAAAATGTGTCTTGCACGATTTAAACCAGATCGGGTCCCAACATCTCTGTGCTAAGAAGGACTAAAGGATTTTTTAACCGGAATGACCGGCAGACATGCAATGATTCGGGCCCGTACAGGCAGCAGTTGTTTGACCAGAGACTGACCGGAGTAAAGCACGTTCAGAGGGCTGCTTCGCCAAAGAGTGGCTGCACCTGTGTGACACAAGTCTAATGGCCGTCAAATGGACCTTTCCCCCGGTTTGCCCCGGGCTGCTCTCCTCGGTGGGTTAGCAACTGCTCCCCTGTGTTGAAACAGTTGTTAATCACTTGCATTGTTAGGCGATCACGTGAGGGTCTGCGGATGTTTATTGCCAGTGAAAGGGAGAGCTCGATTCTTTGAGTTGCGACGCTGTGTTTTTTTTCTTTGATTCGGAGAATCCCCGGAGGCCTTTTCCCTCGCCACAAACTCTGCTCTTCCAGCTGGTCCTGCGGCGTCCTGTGATCGGTATGCCGCACGTCACGTGCTGGAGGACTGACTCTGGGAGAAATGTGCACGCTCCTCATGACAACACGCTCCAGTAGATGTGTTTAAAGTATGTGAGGATGCTTTAAAGACTGAATGAACCTCAGATCTGAGGGACTTTTAAACAGACCAGTCATTTTCCAAATATAGCCCGGATTCCACGCAGAGTCAGCTTGAGCTGGGACTGGACGGCAAGATTCTGGGAGTGTTGAGCTCTTACCCAGCTGCATAGTTTCTCATTCACCAAATGCTTTTTCTTTTACACTGTCCTTGTTCATTGTTGAGACTAGGGGTGTAAGGCCACCAGGTTTTTACTAGGCATCTCAGGCACGTAAAGTTGTACAACTGCTGTCGGCCTGGATGGCTTTTGTCCATTTTTTCACAGGCTGTGTAGTGTCTAAAAAAAGTATGAAACTCTTTATTTAGAAATTGTTTGTAAGTTTAAGTGAAGGGTTATTTAACGTGGGAGGTAAGATGTTGGGAGCTACATCTACAATTTCCACATTGTTAGGAGCTTTTTCAGCATTAGATCCACACATCGTGTTCACTTGAACATAACAAATGTAATCTTGTTTTATGGACATTAGTATTTTCTCTATGATATCACCCATGTTAAAGGAGTAAAAACTGACCTGTGGACAATGTCAGTGTAAGAAAATCCAATTAATCGGTTAGTGTTCATTAAACAACCGACTAAATAGAGTCCAAACCCAAACTGTTGAACATTCTAAGTCAGCAATGTTGAAAGAAAACCATTTGGTTTTTATTAAATTTTATAGATTTTTTTTTTTTGCGCTGTCCCGTAAGAAAGGAAACACCCGGTTTGCTTTGGATGTCATATGAATTATTTAGTGGACTCGCTTGAGTTCTCTCTCTGATGCCGCCAGGTCATGTTTTCTGACAGCAAAAACCTTCAGTTGTGA